AGTGATCTGCCCGTCTTGGCCTCCCAGAGTGCTGGGATTACAGGCATGAGCCACTGTGCCCGGCTCTGATGTACAATTCTTTAAATTGTTTAGTGTTAAGAATTCTAATTGTCTTCCTTAAAAGAACACTGCACAAACAGATTTATTATTTCTTTAAGGAGAGAAAAAAAATATTGTACCTGGTATTTCTACCTGAAGCAGTGAAAGAAATTTCACTACAAAAATGGGTATCCAGCATAATGCATCAGTAAATACTATAAAGAAAAAACGTTTGGCAAGGATCATCTCTTTTTTAACTCGATTCTGTATTTCAGTTGCTGTTATGGCACTTTGATGAACACTATAAAACATGCTTCCATAGGAAAAAACTATGATGATAAATGCGGCCAAATTAATACCTATTTGGAATACAAACAGTATTATTAATGTATAGAAATATTTTTTCAAAATGAACAAACATAGATAAAACATTTTTATTACTAAAGATACAAAGATGTTATTACTAAAGATACAAAGACTATAATGTGTGGGTTTTTTCTTCATAAAGAATTACTAAAGTCCACAAAAATCATGAATTTTTTTGAGATGAGGCTTTGTGGAAGTAGTGAAGAATGCGAAAATGTTTACTTTTAAAATGAGATATTGAAATTATAGTAATTCAATGAATATCTTGGGTTTTTAAGCTTTCTAGTATTAGTGATGTTTTATTTTTAATTTTTTTAGAGATGGGTTCTTGCTTTGTCACCGACTGAAATGCAGTAGTACATTCATAGCTCACTGCAGCTCACTGCAGCCTCAAACTCCTGGGCTCAAGCAATCCTCCTGCCTCAGCCTCCCAAGTAGCTGGGACTGCAGGTGTGTACCACCATGCCTGGCTAAATTTTGAATTTTTAGTAGAGACAGGGTTTTACCATATTGGTCAGGCTGGTCTTGAACTCCTGACATTGTGATCAGCCCGCCTCGGCCTCCGAAAGTGCTGGGGTTACAGGTATGAGCCACTGTGCCTGGCCTCACACCAGCTAATTTTTTAAAAAATAATTTTGTAGAGATGGGGTCTTGCTTTGTTGCCCAGGCTGGTCTCAACTCCTGGCCTCAAGTGATCCTCCCACCTTGGCCTCCCAAAGCACTGAGATTATAGCATAAGCCATTGTGCCTGGCCTAGTGATTTTTTTTCTAATCCAGTTACTTTTTGCTGTACTCTGAGAATATTTTTACATTGCTGGTTTAGAACAGTTGTATGTACACTCCCAAGCCAGAGATGTGTGTTGCTACACACATGAATTTGAAAAGATAATAAATACCATTATGTTCATATTATAAAGCAAAGAGCCAAAACATATGTTACTTAGCATGTTTAGGGTGAATACATGAAATAAAGGTGTTTAGTGTCTTTTATTAAGCTGTGTCAGGTTGGAATTTACGTAACAGTATAATTTGGGGAGGAAAATCCTTGCTGGGGATTCTGATAGAATTCACCCTCATTCTTACTAACAGCTGGTTGGAATATTTGAAATAAAAAGTTGTGAATATTAGTTTCTTAGTTTCTTACCAAGGAAAATTGCCACTGAATAAATCTGGGCTCCAATACTTTCTGTATCTTCTGAATGAAGAGGGAAGCATACTCCATTATTGCCATAGTAGTTTTTGAAAAATTCCTTATTGCTCAATGGAATGAAAGCCACTATAAACCCAGTAATCCAAATGAGAATCAGAACTGTAATTGTTCTGCATTTTCCAGGTCTCACACATCTAAAAGGATAGACAATGCAGATGTATTTTTCCAGTGTCAGAAATGTTAACAGTAAAACTGATACTTCTGTGGACAGAATGGCCAAAGATCCTACAAGCTGACAGTGAGTACTCTCCATCCACAGCTGCGCATGCTTATTGTATTCTCCACGAAACTTTAGGTCAAAGCCTCCGATCACAAATAAATATATTCCCATTAAGCAGTCGGCACCTAGAGGGGTCATAGTTTCACAAATTTAGAGAAATAAATAGGTATCATAAAATCATCAATAAGCAATAATATTTTTAATGCTAGAAAAAATAGCCAAGTTTCTTCTCTCTCAGGTAGAGGTAATTTTTATTCTCCTAAGAATTCATTTACAGATGAGGATCTATTCATAGACTCTCTTTGGTAACCACTCTCAAAGGTACTCTCTACAATTAATTATGCAATCATGTCTTCATTTTCCTTTCAAGTGCAAGTCTTTAAGAGCAGAGATCTTGTCTATTGTATTCTCTGTTCTAGACCCATCATGTAGAAGTGCTGAATAAATGAACAAAATGCAATCACGTAGAGCATTCAGTTAGGGACCTAGATGAGGATGACATAATTTGGTTCAGCTCTTCCACTGAAATTCAACCAATGCAACAAGCTCAAGGCATCACATAAAATTTTGGAGAAAGTAATTCACAAGTTCCTGTGATAGAGTTATGACTGAATTTTGAAGCCTATAACTTAAGAGATATGAATAATTATGAACTGCTTTGCCGTCAGTACAATGTTAAGGGGCTTAAATTACTTACCAGAGTTGGTCTAAGCAAAACTGTTTCCTCTATTTTTCAATTTTTACATCTTTTCCTGTCTCTTTTTAGGGTCTCCAATCCCAGGAATTAGCTCCCTTAGACTACTTGGCGTATTTCTTTTTAAGCAAACGTTACATATCAGAAAGTGGGTGAGATTTTTGGACTGCACAAGCATTCTACACAAAATCCCTAAAATCACATCACTGTATAAATCATAAGGCTGACCCTAAGCCTTTAACTCTGAAGTTACAGTCTAGGCTTCACCAGGGAAATTGAACTTACTAAAAATTTTATAGCTAGCAATACAAAATAGTAAATGGTTTCTGAGTTCTGTTTCTTACATAGCTTGCAATAAAAAAAACCCATTTAGACATTAGAGTTTAAATAAGGATGGGGACAGTACATGGGGGCAGCACACATACAAAAGTAGAACCGCATGTAGATTGATGCTTTACTTGCTTGAGGGAGCATGGATAAATTCTAGGCCACTTGACCTACACTGCAAACATCCTGAGGACTGGTTTCTTCCTTATTTTTCTTTGCAGTGTTCATTTAACATAATACCTTGCCATTACATTGCAACAACTTTTTGAAAAAATGAATACTCCCTGAAAACATTTTCTTATTTACACATTTCAGTTAGAGTGGAAAAAACTTCTAGTAGCTCAGAGATCAGGAAAACATGTAGTTGTTAAGTCAATATCTGTGAACTGGACATACAAATAAAAAAGTAAGTACAGGTCTGCATGTAAAATTGTGACCGTAGGAGGTTGCAATTTTATTTGTAGTAAAAGATTTTAGATGCTTCAACAAAATATTGTGCCTTTGGAGCCACTGTATGAGAGAGAACTAATAAGTGAAAGCTTTGTTAATGTGTGTAAGGTGATTAAATTTACTAGTTTAAAAAACCATATTTTTTCTTATTGCTAAAGTAATTCTATTTTCTTTGAAGAAAATGTGAAAACAGCATACAAGCAAAAAGGAGAAAAATGTAAAATTCCATAATTGTACCACTCACATAACTTATTTTCTAATAATAATGCTTTTGTATATTTCAAAACTACAATTCCCCTTTAACCAGGAAATACTCACAGCAGAGAGAAATGATTGACATGGCATACAGCTTGTTCTCAGACCTGATATAAGGTCGCATGCAAATGACAAAAATGTTTCCAAAGCAGGTAACTGCAGATACAACCCAGACAAATACTCTCTGAATAATGCTTGCCAAGAGATTCTCTAGAGATGAAATTCCATCAGTGTTTGGTTTACAGCTGCGAACATGTGGTGCATACCCACAGTACTGGAATTTCTTAAAATATCTGGTATACAAAGAGAAGGTAAAATAAGATTTTCCATTTAATTCAGTGTCACCTTACATTCATATTTATTTCCTACATTTTATCGGTAGAAAGAAAATGTCTTAAGATGAAACCGAGAGGACTAAAACATTAGGGATTCTCAAACTTTAAACTTATATCCAATTATCATTAGCTTGATTTCACTGTTAAAGAATGTGTGGGTGAGAGTAGCAAATAGGCATAATAAATATAACAAGTGTTAGACATGTCTTAGAATACAAACTGTTAGATGCGATCAAGAGAATGAATCCCTCCAGAGAAACCTTTATTGTACTTTCAATGTTTAGTATATGTAAATGCAGGTACACAGCCCCTATTGTGCTGCAAGTGATTGCTTTCTAACCCTCAGGGGAAGAGTTAAGTGTTTTCTCTTCTGTGCTTCCGTGGCTTTTTGTTATTGAAGTTATGATGTTATTTCAACACCAACAAAATAAAAAAAAAAAAAGAAAAGAAGAAAAAAGAAAAAAAAGAAAAAATCCGATTAAAAAAGAGGCAAATGATCTGAACAGATATTTCTCAAAAGAAGACATACGAACGGCCAACCCATACTTGAAAAAATGCTTAACCTCACTCATAATCAAGGAAATGGGAATTAAAACCACAATGAGGTATCATCTTACTCCAACGTTGGATGGATGGCTATTATCAAAAAGACCAAAAAGTAACAAATGCTGGTGGGAATCTGGAGAAAAGGAAACTCTTATTGGCGGGAATGTAAATTAGTATAGGCACTATGGAGAACAATATGGGGGTTCCTCAGAAAACTACAAATAGAACTAGCATATGGGCCGGGGCAGTGGCTCACGCCTGTAATCCTAGCACTTTGGGAGGCTGAGGTGGGCAGATCACACAGTCAGATTGAGACCATCCTGGTTAACACGGTGAAACTGTCTCTACTAAAAGTACAAAAAATTAGCTGGCATGGTGGTGCACACCTGTAGTCCCAGCTACTTGGGAGGCTGAGGCAGGAGAATCACTTAAACCTGTGGGGGCAGAGGTTGCAGTGAGCTGAGATCACGCCACTGCACTCCAGGCTAGGCGACACAGCAAGACTCTGTCTCCAAAAAAAAAAAGAACTAGCATATGATCCAGGAATCCCATTCCTGAGAATCTATTCAAAGAAAAGAAAATCATATCAAAGACATATCTGCACCCCCATGTTTATTGCAGCACTGATACAGAAGCTAAAAAGAAAGTATGTAGGCAGTTAGTGAGGGTAAGAGAGTCCTCAGTAAGCTTTCTCTTTTAATAAAAAGCAGCCCCCAAATAATTTATTTTCTAACGAAGAGCATCCTGAAAAATCAAGCTGCAGACATAGAAAAGCAAGCTAGAAGCTTGCACAAGTGAATGCTGGCGACTGTGCCAATAGGAAAAGGCTACCTGGGGGCCAAGTATGTTCAACATGGAGGCTCCATCTTTCCTTTTCTTTGTCAACCATGTGTACGTAAAGAAGCAGACAACATGGTGCCAGCCAGGTAGAGAACCCATCTGCATAATGAAAGATTAGGGTGGGGCAGCCAGCTTCTTTGCATGCTATGCAAATGGCACAACTGGTCCAAGCAATCTTTTGGGCCCTATGTAAATCAAACATGGCCTCCTGAAGCTACTGCATAAAACCCCGTGCATTTCACTACAGAACTGGAAGACCTGTTCAGGAGCCCCTCTCTCTCTGCAGGAGAGAGAGCTTTTCTCTTTATCTCCCCTATTAAACCTCTGCTCTTAACCTCACTCCTTGTGTGTCCACGTCCTTAATTTCCTTGGTGTGAGGCAACAAACCTCAGGAATTACCCCATACAAACAATGCTACTTCAGCACTATTCACAATAGCCAAGATATGGAATCAACCCAGGTGTTGATGAACAGATGAATGGATTAAAAAAATGTGGTAGATATACACAACGGAATATTCAGTTTTAAAAAAAGAATGAAATTCTGTCATTGTGGCAACAAGGAGGGAAATGGAGGACATCACATTAAGTGGAATAAACCAGGAATAATGTTAAACACCTCATGTTCTCATTCATATATGGAAGCTAAAAATATTGATCTTACAGAAGTAAAAGTAGATCAGAGGATACTACAGGCTGGGGAGAGTAAGGAGAAGGAAGAGACAGGAGATTTATTAAATAATTCAAAGTTACAACTAGAAAGGAGAATAAGTTCTCATCTTCTGTATCATGGTAGGATGTCTATAGTTAACAATAATGTATGGTTTCAAATAGCTAGAAGGAGGATATTGAATGTTCTGAACACAAATAAATGATAAACGTTTGAGAAGATGGATATGCGAATTATCCTTTATCCTGATCTGATCACTATACATTGTGTGTACCAAACATCACTATGTACCCCACGAAGATGTGCAATTAGTATTTGTCAGTTAATAAAAATAACAAATATTAAAGATTTTAAACATGGAAGTACCACAGTAAAAGAAAAAATAAAAGAAGTTATGTTATCTGTAACTACTTGCTAACGTGCCTATCTCTCACACGATTTTGGTACAGAATAAAGGGGTCAATAAATGTTTGTTGAGTGACTTCTTTCATCAATAGAGAGACTCCTATTGTTGATAAATATGCCATGTGAATAATTTATAATTACTACTGTGTTACCACCAACACCAACACCCTTTATTGAGCATTTCTTCAGTATCAGAAATAAGTTCTCAAATGAATTCCGTGAGGTAGGTGTTAGCATCATTATAAGAAGAGATGAATCTTCAATGGAGGCAAGTTATTTACTAGAAAATTTTCTACTAAATATGTAAATTGAACTTCAAATTAGATCTATTTGCCTATAAAGCCATGTGTTCTGCCAAAAAATATAAATGATCTTTAGTGTATAAAGAGCTATAGTAAGAAAAGATAAAAACTTGATTACAATTTGTCCTGTCAAGTTCAAGGTCAATTGCTGATATTTCCATTCGGTTATATCCATTTATTCTGTAAACCATGAAGGACAGGAGAGCAGAACATGAGGAAAGAAGGAGTGTTGATTGATATTTTACTTTGCTTTATGTGTCTTAGGCTGAAGTTTTGCTTTTATCCACAGAATTATGGTAACTCTTTGCTTGCTACTTTGGCTGCCCAGCACTCAATCACTCTTCTAATAAGTGGTCTGATTTCTTTTGAGAGAATTACTCCCCCTTTCTGAGAAGTTATGGTGGGACCTTCAGTGGAGGCAATCCCTAGCCCAGAGTAGGTAAGTGCCCTAGACACGATCTAGTAGATTCTCTCTCCTGGAACTCTGATTCTGATTGAATGTCACTTGGATGGATAATTCCAGTGGCTAAAAATTATTCCTCAGATTTTGTGTTATACCATTTTCTACCAATAAATTCTGTTATGTTTAATTTAGTCAGATTGCTTTATGTTGCGTACAAGCAAGGAATCTTTTATAAGCCATCTTTCTGAGGAATTATGGAAAACAAAAGCAGTGTTCTGTGTTAGACTTAAAATACAAGCAAGATTACAGAGTTGATGGTAGCTGACATTTTCTAAATTATTGAAAATTTCTGTGGCATGGATCATTCTAATAACTGCTATAAAATTGCATTCAATTAAAAAATGCTTCTAAAGCATGTAATCACAGGTACAACCAGACATACTCTTTGAAGAAAAGATTTTTCAAAGTTTACCATCTCATCCATGCATGCTTGCTTGAATCATGCCCTGACATTTGGGGACATTTTCATTGAGAAAGATTTCTTCCTAACTACCTTCATTTGCAGCGTTGATTTATTTGTAATTATTTTATATTGCTTATATAAATTCCTTCCTCTTCATCTGGTAGCACTTGTACCATGTGATATAGTTTGGATATTTGTCCACTCCAAATCTCATGTCAAAAGTTGATTCTCAGTGTTGGAGATGGGGCCCAGTAGGAGGTGTTTGGGTCATGGGGTAGATCCCTCATGAATGGTGTGGTGTCCTTCCTGCAGTAATAAGTGAGTTCTCCCATTATTCACATGAGATCTGATTGTTAAAAAGAGCTGGCACCTCCTCTTCTCTCTCTGGCTATCTCTCTTGCCATTTGACACACCTACTCCCTCTTTGTCCTCTGCCATGATTAAAAGCTTTCCTGATGACCTCACCAAAATTAGAGGTTGGTGCCATGCTTCTCTTAACAACTTGCAGAACTGTGAGCCAAAATAAACTCTTCTTTATAAACCACCCAGCCTCAGATATTCCTTTATAGTAATGCAAAATGGACTAACATACCCTATACACAAATTACTAGCTCATTAAGCAAACATCAATATCTGTGAACAGTCATGAGAGCTGAGGAGAACTTCTTACAAGACCAAGTAGATTCCCCTCACACTCATGTTTCCTGAGATTCAAAAAATCTCCTATGAGATTCTACCAGACTGTGGAAAACTAAAATCATCTCACCCAATATCAAAGGTTTAAGAGTTTTAATTATTGTTTAGACATATCTCAGTCCATTTGGCTGCTGTAACAACAATACCATAGACTGAGTGACTTAGACAATAAATGTTTATTTCTCACAGTTCTGGAGGCTGAGAAGACAAAGATCAAGGTGCCAGCAGATTCAGTGTCTGGTAGGGGACTACATGTTTCATAGATGGCCATCTTCTTTCTCTGTGTTCAGAAGGTGGAGGGGCAAGGGTGGTCTCCAGAGTGTCTCTCTCTTTTTTTTTTTTTTTTTTTGAGATGGAGTCTCACTCTGTCTCCTGGCCTGGAGTGCAGTGGCGCGATCTTGGCTCACTGCAACATCTGCCTCCAGGGGTCAAGCGATTCTCCTGCCTCAGCCTCCCGAGTAGCTAGAATCACCACCACGCCTGGCTAATTTTTGTATTTTTAGTAGAGATGAGGTTTCACCATGTTGGCCAGGCTGGTCTTGCACTCTTGACCTCAGGTGACCCACCCGCCTCAGTTTCCCAAAGTGCTGGGATTAGAAGCATGAGCCACTGGCCTGGACCAGAGTCTCTTTTATAAGGGCACTAATCCCACTCACAGAGGCTCTGTTCTCATGACCTAGTCACCTCCCAAAGTCCCTACCTCCTTGTACCATTGCATTGGGGTTAGGATTTCAATATATAAATTTTGGAGGAACACAAACATTCAGTTTATAGCTGGCAAATTAGTAGAAAATATTAATAGATTGGATGTATTATCATAACACACATGGAAACAAACATTAAAATCATGATGAAAAACAATAAAAATATCTACTTACATGTGAGAGAGATTCATAAGTGGTCTAAACATCCTTTGTTGGATATTTGAAATTTCAATCCCTTCTAGGCTGCTAAAAATATCAAATTAATAATCAAAGAACATGTGTTATACATAGTTTAATAAATTGAGTTTTCATGAAGGGCAATTTAATAAAATGCTTTTAGTTAACACTTATTCTGAACAAAATAATTATACTCAGCCCACCCACTTCCCCAAATCATCCTCCTTCTGATTGTGCGATTTATACACATATTGTCTTCCTTATTTGATTTTTTTTTTAGATCCTCACAGATCATGGCACAATGCTTTGTGCATTTTAACTGCTCGATAAATATGTGTGGAATAAATGCACAAGCATTCTCTTTTATACAATATTACAACAGCAGAAATGTTTTACATCCTTGAAAATTTCCTAGTAATTTTTAATTAATAAATTTTTTTCTAATAAAATGTCATTTTACTGAGGGAACACTCAAATTAAATGAACTGAAGCGTACCTTTTTTTTTTTTTTTTTTGAGACAAGTTCTTCCTCTGTTGCAGAGGCTAGAGTGTGGTGGTATGAACATGGCTTACTGCAGCCTCAACCTCCCAGCTCAAGCAATGTCACCATCTCAGCCTCCCAAGTAGCTAGGACCACAGGTGCATGCCACCACACTCAACCAATTTGCTTATTTTTATTTTTTTGTAGAGGCAGGGTCTCCCTATGTTGCGCAGATTATTCTTGAACTCCTGGTCTCAAGCAATGCTCCTACCTTGGACTCCCAAAGTGCTGAGTTTACAGGTGTGAGCCACTATACTCAGCCAGCCCTGAGGCTTTTCTTTAAAGGCAATTCTTCGACTCTAACAGAATTTTTGTCTTTTTTTGTGTGTGGGTACAAGTAAGGATTTATATAATCTAGAATATTCCATCTTGGGGTAAAAATGCCTATAATAAATTATAAAATACCCAGTGTTAAGAGAGTGAATATGCACAGATGTTTTTGAAGGGTCAAAGCAAACCGATCAGCATAAGCTCCTAGTGACATATAAAAATATAAAATAATTCATAATTATTTTAAAATTTACAAATACAGAAGATAAAACTAGTAGTTGTCTGTTTATAGTACAGCAAGCACTCATATGTTTTTGTAGAGCTAAACTAATGTTTTGGAAATAAAGCTTATGATTTGAAAGAAATACATAAAAATACACATTGTTAGTATTTAAAAAACAATTTTATCATAAAACTATCCCCATATGTGAATACTTACAGAGACTTGAGTTTGACAAGATAATCAAATTGGTTTGCTTGAATTTTCTGGATTGGATTATAGGAAAGATTCCTGTATTTTTTAAAAAAACAGCAATAAGTCATTTCTAAAAACCACATGAGTAAAGCAAGTGAATCTGTTTATTTTGGGTTACTTTTAAGTATTTATGAACAAAAGTATACTATAACTCATAATGGATTAAAGACTTAAACTGTAAAACGATAAAGTGACTAGAAGGAAACATAGGTGGAAAGCCCCAGGACATTAACCTGGGTGATGATTTTTTTGGATATTGCCCCAAAAATATGGGCAACAAAAGTGAAATAGATGAATGGGATTACATAAAACTAAAAAGCCTTTGCACAGCTAAGGAAACAATCAACAGAGTGAAGAGACAACCTGTGTAATGGGGGACCATATTTGCAAATCATATATCTGGTAAGTGGTTAATATCCAAAATGTGTAAGGAACTCAGATAACTCAGCAAGAAAACAAATAAGCTGGTTAAAAATTAGGGAAAAGGCTTGAATAGACATTTTTCAAAAGAAGACATATAAATGACTGACAGGTATATGAAAAAATGCTCAACATCACTAATCAACAGAGAAATGCAAACTGAAACCACAGTGAAATATCACCTGACACCTTTTAGCATAATTTTTATCAAAAAGATGAAAGATAAGTGCTGAGGATGATTTGAAGAAAAGGTTGCCCTTGCATACCGGTGGTGGGAATATAAATTAGTACAACCATTATAGAAAATAGTATGGGGTTTCCTCAAAAATCAAAAATTGAACTACCACATGATCCAGAAACTCTGCTACTGGATATATATCCAAAGGAAATAAAATCAGTATATTAAAGAGATTTCTGTACTCCCATATTCATTGCAACATTATTCATAATAGCCAAGATATGGATTCAACCCAGGTGTACATCAAAGGATGACTTGATTAAAAAAAATGTATACATACATAATAGAATACTATTCAGCCTTAAAAAAATCAGAAAATCCTGTCATTTGCAACAACATGAATGAATCTAGAGGACATTATACTACATGAAATAAGTCAGGCATAGAAAGACAATTACCACATGATCTCATTTATATGTGGAATCTAAAAAAGTTGAACTCATGGAAGTAGAGAGTAGAATGTGGTTACCAGAGGCAGGTGGGGAAGGATTGGAATATACTGGTCAAAAGGTACAAAAATTTCAGTTAGAAAGGAGGAATAAGTTCAAGACATCTATCTTGCAACATGCTGACTGTAGCTAATAACAATGTATTGCATGCTTGAAAATTGCTAAGAGAGTAGATGTTAAATGTTCTCGCCACAAAAAATAAATATGTGAGATGATGCATATGTTAATTAGCCCAATTTAGGCATTCCACAATGTATACATATTTCAAAACATCATGTTGTACTGATAAATATATACAATTTTTCTTCATCAGTGAAATAAAGAGATAGCAATAGCACTGGCCTCACAGGGTTGATTGTACATTTAAGTGAATTGATTAAGATAGAACACTTAGAACAGTACCCAGCTTGTAGTAAATACTCTGTGATTATGAGAGTGATAGAGTGAGAGCTAATAAAATATGTGCATGAAGGCGGAGCTGTCAAGAAAGGGCTGCCACCAGAGAAGAGGTAGTGGACCCAGAAAGAGTCGTACCTATTTCCCATTTTGCCTAAGATCAGATATGGTTTAAATAAAATGAAATGAAATAATCTCATTTAGTCA